AAGCTACTGCATCTTTTACTCCTCTGATGGTGGTATCTACTGTATACAACAGGCAACACGCTCTGACTCGATGTTCAGCCAAACACCTGAAAATAACACAAACATGCACCGTAGACTCAATCACACGGCAAGCTATTGAACAGTCTTCAAAAACTACAATACAAACCTCTGTGTGAGCTACTGTTCAGGAGTAGGTGCAGTGTTTAAAACCTCTCTCCCGCAACAATGCCTCAACTACAGCGTTGTAAAGTTCCTCCTGCGGCCGGACAAGCCCATCCTGACAGAGTCCAGACCAACATCATGCAGTGCTGGACAGCGTTCAGACAGGGAGTAGGACAGACAGCGGGGTTGCCAAAACAAACAAGGGGTTGCCAGTAAATGCAGCTTACTGTACCTACATGTCAGGCTACAAAGAAAATACCACACCACATGTTGTCAATCACCCCGCCATCACTCTATTTGGTGCCTGTAATGCTTCAAGGAAGAAAATGGAGTGTTTGAAAAGCTCCAGTGTGGTCTGGAACTAATCAAGCTGATTTACCTGCTATAAGTTGGTGTTGATAAGATGCCTCACTGCACAGAACGCAGCCTTAGCAAATCTTCCCACTGTGGCCTTACAAGTGAATTCATGCATATCTGGTTAAGTAGACTGAGACTTGGCGAAGACTTCAGATAAAATGAAAGCCCATGAAGGCACATCTTGCTTTGTGCGATCAGTCCAAGATTTAGTTTGTTTGAGCACAGCCTGGTCTTAACCTGATGTTTTCTTCATCTGGCCTTATTTCTGACAGCTCGGTCTATCGTGATCACATAATGAGAGTGCATTCCATGTTGCCAAAATGTCAAAGCCTGCCATTTTCAAGCCTCAGCTCGACACAACGAAAGCCAACTGGTTTCCTTTAAAGGTAATAGAAAGAACGTTCAGCCATACACAGGTTGTCACTTCACTTCTTTTTTTATGTTGCTGTTATTGAACAGCAACATGAGGGATCAAACAGATCAATTGTTGCCGACCTTTTGGTGTTGTGAAGCTCTTAATCAAAGCAAAACCTACTTGAAATCACTTTCCCTTAAATATAAATGTTACGGCAGACCTGAAAGGGTAAAACTATCCAGACTTTCACAGTCGAAAAGATCAGAAACATATTGAAAGATTATCTCCTACACGGTCGAAGCAATAGTTCAACATTCAGGATGATATAACTATTTTAATAATTATTTTATTTTACAAGCGTCTTTGAGCACTGCGAAAAGCGCAACAAAAATTAAATGTATTATTATTATTATTATTATTATTATTTAACCTTCAAATAACAGCTGGATGCTACAATGAGGGGGAAGAAAGACAAACTTCTGTTCTTGCACATTGTAACTTTTGTAAGCTTTTCTTACAACATCCCCTGCAGGAAAATGTTGCGATTTTGGTGAAACTGGATCATATTTTGTTCATAGAATGTTTTCTTGCTTTCCATCTAAAGTCTTCAAGCTGCTCTGCCTTAACTCTTGGTGTTTAATGATATTTCCAAATAGAGAAAAAGGCTTTCTTTTTGCTTAAGTAAAACATACGGGTAATTGCTGCCGTGAGCTCCAGCTAACTGCTGTACGACAGTTAACTGTTGGTCTTATCTTGGTCTGTTGCCAGTGTTGGTAACAGGTGGATTAAGATAAAATAAGATAAGATAACATAATATTGACCTTTATTAATCCCTGTAGGGAAATTCAGGAGTTTAAGCAGCAACAGAGTAAGACCGAAAGTACAGTACAGACTCACACAAGATTAATAAAATGAAGGATAACATTTAAATTATATACAGATAAGTAGCTGTTAACAAAAAGCTGGCTTTGCCATGTCTTGTGTTGTTACAATTGCTTGATGCTGAAATGTGTTAGCAAAGTTGTCAGTGGCTAGATGGAGTTGGTTAGCTTAGCTTAGCAAAAGCTAGCATAGCCATGCCATGTCCAAAAGTAACAATATCCACCTACCAGTACCTCTGAAGCGCACTACATTAGGATGTGAAATGTTAAAGCTGTTTTACAAAGGGTTTATTTACCTGACGTTTTTATACTTTGTTACCAAACAACAAAGGTGATATAACATGTTAATTTGTGAGCTTTACAGGTGCTGGTAGGTGGATGTTGTTACCTTTAGACAGAGCCAGTTGATGTTTCCAGTCTTTGTGCTAAAGCAACGCAGCTGAAGCTCAAGCTTTATATTTAACAAACAAATATGAGTGGTACAATCTTCTTATCTCATTCAGCAAGAAAGCTAATAGTTCATAGTTCATAGTATGTTGTTCATCCCTGCATGTGCTGAAAGAAAAATAACTTGAACAGCCAGCCACTGAATTAAAAAAAAAAAGAATCGCTTTGGGGGAGCGACATACTTCAACAGCAACACAAAAATCTGCATAAACAAAAGACATACACATATACACTGTGGGACTCTCACAACTGGCCACTATCGTCCACCTGCCAGTGAGATCGGTCATGGATAACAGGAACATCAGTAGCAAAATAATTCCTTGTTGATTAACAAGCAACTTGCTCACAACAACAACACTATGGACTACATGATCATAGCGACTCAATTACTTCTCATCTTGACAGCTCTGACAGGATTCGGCTTTTACTTGTTTGTACATTTGTGTGAAGGGCCTTAGCAGCTGACAAGTGAGCAACAGTGGGCCGCAGTCATACACAACGGCATGTGTTTCTTTATGAAGCCTCTGAGTTACATACATACATCAAAGATAGGACTTTGGTTAACTAATGCTTTAGAAGTGTGCTGTACTGAAGAGGAGCACGTTCTTATATTAGAGGCTGCAAAAAGGTACTTAGCTGCTGCAGCTATATGCAACACAACTAAGCCTTAGTTTCATTTCACTTGTTTGCCCTTTGTATGTGTGTTTACATCTCTACATCTGTAGGCGCGTGATTGTGCTTTTCATTCACTCCTGCTTGATGCGATGGCGCAGTAAAAGCCCTCTATTGTGATATTGTTTTAATCACTATCACAAAATCAACAGTGGCTGGATTTCTGCAGAGCATTAATAAGCTGCTGAATGACCAGCCTTCACAGGTTCAACTCAATTCCCGCTGGGTTTAATCATTCATATATGAGCATATCCAGATTTCACTTCTAAATATCATCCGGGACATGCTAAGGATTCTTCTGTTGGATTTCATGTCAATTCTAAACCACAACAATAACGTGAGACATATTTTAACAAGTCAAATCAATGAAGTGATTCCACAGTTCTGCTTGGTGTGTCCACTTCCTCTCATCTGCCTTATAGATTTTTCTCTGGGCTTCCTACATTTACCAGAATGCCTTTCCGCAATCTCTGAATCATGAATAATTTGCTTCAACCATAAAATGAATCTCCTTTGATTCAGCTTCTCCTGGTAAAAGTAAGCTCAAGACTGCATCTCTGGAAAGAAGCACTTTTTTCTTTGATTCGGAGTGCCTGACACTAAAAATGTGATGTTTCCACTTACATTTTTATACGAGCAGTCTTCTGCTTTGAAACCATAGAAGCTCCAGACGTTAAGCAAATAATCTTTGACTGTAAGAAAAACAGATGAAGTGTCTCTACTATAGGGGCAGAAAGGCTTTAGGGTTTTTCCTTGTTTTACATTTGTTTTGACCTGCAGTTAAAAGATATTAGAGTGAAACAGAGCCAAGGAAGCAACACACAGGCTGACTGCCTGTAAAGGCATGCAATTATTGTTTTACTGTACAGTCAAATGTGGCACAGCTGACTTAAACTAAACATAAACCTAGACTTTTTCTTCCCCCACTGTTATGAGGGGGAATACCATTGCTTTAAATACTTTGTTAATACATAGGTACACATGGGAGTACTTACGCACTAGCCCAGATGGTGGACCCTCTAATTTGAAATCCAAGGGTATAATTAAGAGACAAAAAAATTAAAAAGGAAAGCATGAGGATTTGCTGCTTCGACATGAAACGCGGCACAAATTACAGCAAAGGAGAAGCTCGGTTTGTGTGGTCATCGCTATTAGATATTCACATTAAAAACAACATATTCAGCTTTGAATTGGGATCCGGTTGCAACTTTGAAGTTCTTGCAGAAAGACGCAATGTTATGCCTGCGTATTAATCTGAATTTGATGGTGAATTAAATGGAAGTTATCAGATGACTGAGCTGAGGGGTTTTGAGTTCATTTCGGCAGGGTATACGATGTCTGTGTGATTCAATTAAAAGATACACAAGCCAGAAAGCCAACAATAATATTATGATGGATATAAATATGTTCTGCCATAACTGTTTAAAAATGACCAATCCAAAAGAATACAATATGATTGATGAGTGTTGAGCAGCTGATGCAGAACAGGTAAACATACCCCGGACCCAACGCGCAGGATGTGCAGGAGAGAGGAGTGCCTAACAGCTGCTGGTTTGGGTTACAAGCCCGTGGTCTCCCTGATTCAATCGAAATGTATCTTAAAAAGAACATAACATCGCTTCCAGATGATTTTCTAAGCCTTTTTGCAGATTCACATGCACCGCTGTTCGCTCAGATTTTTGTCGCCGGGACTCTACTGGTCTTTAGTAAACAAATGTTTACCCTGTACCTGTGTGTGTGGAGGGATAACTGACACTGTCTCGTTCGGTTGTCTTCGAACTTATCACATCACATCAAAACCCATTGCTCCTTGTTGCTTTGGCCGCCCTCTGTAAACACCCATAGTGGAGCCAGCGTGCATTTGGGAAACAGTGTCGTAGTGGGATTTGAACCAAGGCGATGAACTATGAATGAAGTTACTGCGAATGCAATCTGTGACAAATTCAAAACTAAGTATGAAAATATCATAATAACATAAAAACGTAACGCATTTTTGGATATGTATTCAAAACTTGCTGATAGGATAAGAGCATATTCAAAAGAGCAACTTTGGAGATGCTTCCGTCAGCGCAGACATGTATCCGTATTCATCCTGCGCAAAATGCGAGCAGAAAAGTTTGACTCACCGGTGTCGAAAACACTCAAAGCCGCTGAAGAAATAACCCCAGCGAGAAGAAGAGCCAAGGTGGCTGTCCAGGAATCCATGGTGTGTTTAAAGTGTCTCTCAGGTGAAGTGCAGCCAGACGGACGGATGCGCAGAGCGGGCGGACTGACTGACGGTCTGTCCCGGTCTGTGCGCCAGACTCTCTTCGGCCGGCGTTAAAAGTCCCTGAACTTCAAGGCAGGTCCTGCAGCTACTACTACACTGACACCACGGAGACGGCAACAGATAGTAGAAAGCAGGGATCCTATTTCCAACCCATGTGACAGGAAATAGGGGCAATAGATTCAACCTGCAGCGCTGGGGAAGCAGCAGACAGAAAAGAGGAGGAGGGAGGACGGAGGACGGAGGGGGAGAGAGGGTGGACTCAGTGGTGCAATGAACAGCAGGTTCAAGTGTAAACTATCTTCCCTCTTTCAAGATTGGATTTAAACAGAGGTGTAAAGTAACTAAGTGGATTTACTCAGGTACTGTACGTGGATTTGAGGTACTTTGTACTTCTACTCCACTACAATTCAGAGGTAAATGCTGTAGTTTTACTCCACTACATTTTACCAAAGAGTCAAATTATTTCAATATTTTACAAAAAGTCAATCAGAACTTTGTCTACAACAGTAAAATGCTACTTGATGCAACCATATTATCTAGAAATGTCATATATAAATATAATTATATACACACTTCTCTACTACATTTTTCTGCACAATGATTACTTTTACTTTTTATACTTGATTAACATTTTGCTGAAAATACTTTTGTACTTTGATTTAAGTGAGATTCTGGCAGACTTTACAATTTTGAAAATAATCTGTTGGTACTTTTACTCAAGTAAAGCATTTGAATACTTCTTTCACCACTGGATTTAAACCATATTCCCAAATTAAAATTCCAAAAATCAAAGCACAAGCAAAGAAAACACAAGAGAACATCATTCCATATCTATTCCACATGGTCATAACTATAACTTTCTGCACTATGGTCATTATGCATTTACTTTTAGTTCACAATAGTTATATTATAGGAATAGGAGTGATGCCAGGGGAGATCACAACTACCATAAAGTATGAGATCTCACTGTAAACATGCCATGCAGTAAAAGACACGCACAATAAATCCCTTCTGGATTATTATGGGAGTATTCTCTTGGGTTTTTATGTGGGGGTCTAAATCTAATTAGGGGAACATTGCATTTGGAAACCCCTGGGCTATGACATTCTACAAAACTGCACACAACAGGAAGTTAGCAGACCTTAGCAATACATCATTTATATAGCTGTGTTACGTTTGCACATGATCCTGATAGAGCAGTGGTTACAATAGGTAGACATGTGAATAATACAATGGAGTTTGAGAAAAATCATGTTCCTGTTGTTGGATCAATGGAAATTGTGTGTGATCACACAATTTTAGTATGCTTTTTTATTTGCCTACATTTAATAAATAGTGAATCCCCTCTGCAAAATATTAGGAATTAAAGACTTCTTCCTTGGTGCAAGTTTTAGTTGTCCGTGTCAACAGTTAGTTATCAGATTTACAATCGACAGAAATTGATAAATGAGCAGATTATGCTTTATATTGAGGTATTCATTCCTTTACATGATACTAAATATAAACAAGTGTACACTGTGTGTGTGTGTGTGTGTGTGTGTGTGTGTGTGTGTGTGTGTGTGTGTGTGTGTGTGTGTGTGTGTGTCCACTTGCAATGCTTCTCCCCTCTTTGCCATTTCAGACAGGCCTCCTGAATGTAAAACAGCACCCTCATGTGTTTTCATTGAGTATCATGCAGTACTGTGAGGAAGTGTCCAAGCCAAATGCAGCCAGCCTAAAAATAGCAAAATAAATCCAGTATGAGCTCACCACTCATGAAGAAAAAAGGCCCTACATGTGTTTTGCCAAAACCGACAGAGTTGAGATGGGGTGCCCTGGGAAAGTAATTTAACATGACGTTTGCCCTTTTGAGACAGCAGATACTGGCTGGTAGAAACACCACTTATAAGAAATTGAGATATTGTTTGAGATATTATTATTTAACTATATTAACAGTTTACTTAGGCTCTGACCGACATGTCTTTACTTTTGGGGTTGGAATCACCAACGCCCCATGATACATAATTGCGATACTTTAGCCACAATACGATGTTGTTGGGATGTGCTAAAAACTGTAATAGCATTTGTTACTATTAAATACCTTTTAAGTATGATGTTAGTCAACTTTCTAATACATTGTAACACTATAATGCATTTTGGTGGATTCCTGATTACGTTTCTTTGATGTCTCAATATTAGTCCAATCACTCTGATATTTTTCTAAAAAAAGTATCAATAATATTGTATTGATACAATAATTTGCCATGCAAAATATTGCAATACTATGCTTCTTCCCATAAGTTATGGGAAACTATATTCTTAAATAATTTACTTTAGTACAGTCTTTAGGTTTCTGAGTATTCTTTTTCTGCCACTTAGAATTTTACAAAAAAAACATATGAGATTTAAAACGTGATATGTTTTTGTAGATTCAACTCCTTTTCAGTATTTAAAGATACTTGAACACGACCTCAATTACAGTATCTGCAACATTAATGTGCTTCTGTACTAATTCATATGGCCAGATACTCTGCGAGTGTCACACCAAAACAATCTACATTGATAAATTGCTCTACAGTTAAGAGGAAAGCATGCATTTTTGACATTAGGGTGAACTTTTAGATTTAAATGACTTGCAATTGAGTATTTGTACTTGGATGTAATGCTAATTTAATTGGGGAAAATAACCTGAATACTTTTTAGCTTTGATTAGTTGGTATGTGGCATGTTATGTGCTCACACAAAGCATTCTTTGAGCCCTCAGAGTGAATATTAACTGCTGTGTCCATTTAAAAATCCACCTGAATGTGAGTCCTGTCATTACCTCCCATCTTCCCTGCTATCAGTCAGTGATGCTGTGCAGCTTTGGTTTCCTTTGTCCTCTTTTCTCCCCCTGTTTCTCTGTGAGTGTGTGATCACATGTTGGGCTTGTCTGTACACGCTGCCTGGCCACATTCCTTGTGGTCTGCTGGTGTTACTGTAATTCTGTTCTCTCTTTTTTCTCTCTCCAGAACAAACTCTGCACTTCCACAAATGACATCTACACTTAATTCCTTTGGCATTTTGCCTTTTAGACAGTTTGTCCAGTATCTGGTTCCTTACAGTTCTATGTGTGTATGTTTTTTGGCACGATCAGACACAGAGAGAGGCAAGCCCTTCGGTGCGTCCTGCCTGCTGAGTTATTCTAAACGGAGGCTGAAGGTCACAGCAAGAATAATCCAATGAGATGTATTAGAAAGAGCACCATCATCCCTGACCTGCCTGCCAATGGGAAGTTATGCATTGTTGAATTAGAAAGTCGGCCCAAATGCTTTGAATTCACAAATTCAGGAGCCAAGACTATGTCATGTCCTTGTTTTCTCTTGGGTAAACATGAGCGCCTGGCTCTGCATTTTAACGCCACTTTTCTCTCCTTTGTTGTCAAAACTACAGTGTGTTCTTCTTTTGTGCTTTTCTTTCTTGGCATCTAAAGAGAAGGGACTTTGGCTGCACTGTACATGAATCTCTCAAGTGTTTTGACATGCCATTTCATTTAGTTATATTTGAAATAAAGGTAAACAAATGTATAGGAAAATAAATACCATATATCCTCATTTCCCAGAAGTCTTCCAGCTCCAGGTTTGGAGTCCCTGACATTGAGGTCTCCACCTCTAAACAATAAAAGGAGAAGTTAATTTAAGGGGCTTGAAGCATTAAAAATGGCATTTAAAAAAGCTCAACAACAGTATTTCTTCAATAAGCAGTTTCTTGGTTATTCAGGATCATTCACAGACCTCACTGTGAGCATGGGAAATTATCCTGCAACTATTGTGATGATAAATTATTTGTTTGAGTTGCACACTAGAGTACTTAAATAGAAGGAATTGCTGCTTTCTTACAATAGTGTCCTGAATGTCTTTGGGTTTTTCAGCTGTTGTTGGACAAAACATGCAATGTGAATAACTTAATATGGGCTCTAGGAAGTTGTGGTCAGCATTTGTCACTATATTTTATGGACCAACAACTCCACAGGACACCAACGCAACAACAATAAACCAATGAATCAAGAAAATAAATGGCAGAATTATCAGTAATGACAGTAATCATCATGGTCAGTCAGAAGTTGTTCCAATAAAAAAACTGATGAAAGTGTTCTCTCCAGGATCCAGACACATGTTGCTATTAAAAAAAACTCAGCAGGGGGCAATGGAAACTCTTTCAACAGCAATATTATGAAATATTCTTAAACTTGAGCTCATGCAAAACAGTGATGAATAAATAATGTTCTTATGAAAGTGCTGGAAACAAACCTCTAAAACTTGTATTTTGCACTTGTTTTTGAGGCTAAATTTAGAGGACTGGGGTTGTGTGTTTACCCTGATGATTTTCTTCGGTTTCGCAGCGACGTGACAAGAAGGTTTTCTCTCCCTGTTTGACATCACCACTGCGTCACTGTTTTCTGTCTGGATCCTTCTCCAAAGTGCCAAAATAGTCTCTGCTGTCGCTTGGCGCATTACATTAATTAAAGGCAAAACATACGGGCACACGCATTGATGCACAACTTCTGGTGTCTACTCCTATTGGGGGGTCACAGTGAGTCAATGCGATTACTCAACCAAAGCATCTGGTTGTTGTCTGAAGTCTGTCCGACCCGGCCGACAACCCCCACGCGGGCCACATCACGGTGTATCTGAACCACATCATTAGTGGTTGCACACACAACACAGCACACATTATGGTGTCACTCTCTGACCCCAGCAAAGCATATTGCATTGGGCTTCCCTTGACAAATGACAGCCTCTGGCCCTATCTGTGCCAGTAACAACCCCCCCCCCCCCCCCACCCCCAACCACCATCTTCTCTCAACTCTTATCCCCCTACACACACACACACACACACACACACACACACACACACACACACACACACACACACACACACACACACACACACACACACACACACACACACACACACACACACACACACACACACACACACACACACACACACACACACACACACACACACACACACACACACACACACACACACACCTGTGCAGGCCCCTGAGCTTACCCGTGTTCAAAGCCAAGATAAAAGCTAACGTTTACATCCAGCCACCTGCACACAACCAGCAGCCGCTGCCGAACCGCAGCCCCTCCTCCCTTTGCTTCTCCTTCTGACACACACAG